GAAGGCTACAAAATTGCGGGGACAGCATAACTGTCACAGACGGCTCCCTTCACACAGCTGTCAATCATTTTTACACCAAAGAGGACCCGAGTCAGCGGTTCGCAGTCACGTTCCGCGGTTAACTACAGCTCCACACGAGCAGAAATAAGGGGGGGGGCAATGTGTTGCCTTTGAAAGACGTCAAGCCCTCTGCGCTCTTCTAAGTTGAGCTACAACAAGCGAAGAGTTTTGGTTTACACGGAGCCGAGCAGGATTTTCTAGGGGGTCAACCTCCATCGGCAGTCGAACTCAACTACATCATCCATTTGATCTTTATTTCAAAGGAAGGACGAATATGCCTCATTTCACCGTATCAGTTTATTGGCGCATTAAATTTTTCGGCAATCTGTGACGGCTAGTGGGTAGGCAGAACAACTATACACTGCTAGAGTAGTATGATAAGACTTCCACTGATCTTTCCGTTGATGAGAATACAGTAAAACCCGTAACACTTTCTATTATTTGAAGGAAGCATGCCATGCTTCACCCTGTGCCAAGCGTACAACGTAGTATGCCTAGTTAGCATGCTACCGAGCGATCACTCAAGCACCAAACGAGTAGACTTCCAATATTTCAGTCAATGCAGAAGTTTATTTTACATTAAAACCATTAAATCGTACAAAAGCTACAGAACGGGAAAAAAACTCCAATACACAATGAAGTGTACGTACTCCTATCAATCAGTTATGAGATTCATGTGATGACAAATCGAATCAGTTGCAACCCTGTCACGAACGTAGGAATGAGGTGCAAGTATAAAAAGGTATTCTTCAATCTCTGAATAGCAAAAAGCCGCTGTTCAATCTAAATCTAAGACCAAGATTCAACTTTTGAATAGCGTGCTCATGCTAGTGTTTTTAGTTACATTTCATTATAAAAACACGTTCTGTACTGGATTCTTTATAATATTCTTCAGCTATCTTATTCTATAGTTCTATCTTTATTATTTAAACAAAAAAGTTTTTTAACATCTGAGATTCATCGTAAAGATTGCTTTCAGTAACTGAGGATTATTTCGTACATCAGAATGAATAATAATTCTGTAACCAAAATATTGATTCTTCAATAACTTTCTACTGCTTATTTTCTTTCATCCATAATAAAAAATAGTTTGTTTCTTGAATCTGCAAATTACGTTCGTCTGTAAAAAAAGAGATTCTTTCTCCTTTTCTCACATGATTTCGCTTTTTTTTGTTAAACACGTAGTTCGGTTCAAACGTTAAGGGCAGGACGAAATAATCTCTTTATCCATTTTCACCACCACCTCCGCCGTCACCCCTTCACTAATGTCGTTATCACCACCACAGCCACCTTCTATAAACACCTCCCTTTTCACCCATCAGTATAATCGTTGCTATACACAACTGACACCTGCGTAACAAACCCATCAAATATCAAGATTATGAACGGATACACAATTAAACTGGAAACTGCATATAAATAATGAAATATTACAAGTTAAAGCAAAATTGAACAGTTTTGGGCTTCCATATAACCCAAACCTCCATATAACAGAGCCTTAACCATATTTAAAACAATTAGAGCACTCTTATTATATGCTTGTCCAGTTTAGATATATGTTGCAATATCGAACACAAAAAAATAGTTTGTTCAAAACCAGTTTCTCTGTTCAATTACAAATGTACCATGAATTATTTCCAACCAACATCTGCTCAACGAATTGCAACCCTAACCTATACAAACCACATCACGTATCTCTCCACATTGTTTTACCGCATCTTACTTCAAATTACCCGAATATGTATCCTCCAGTTAAAAATCCCACTTATGATAGCCGAATTAAAAATAGATTTTCTTTCTATACCTTCCTTACACATTTTCCCAAATGTTGCTCCTCTGAGGTCTCTCCATAAAGGATTTCTCCTCCAAAAATTTGATATTTAGAATAAATTTATTAGCGTTATGTTTACATTAAGGCAAGTACAGAAATGTAGAGTACGAACTAAACTTCGTAAAACCTGAAAATGTTTATAACAAAAAAACACCCACCACCCCCTGCCCCAACCTGCACCAGCACCTGCGCGCCCGCTGTTTGGAGCGAGACCTTGACTGAAGGCGGCCATTACCGCGCAGCCCATCATCGCAAGTGGCGAGCGCCGTGACGTAACTGTTCCACTCGGGTGAGTAATTAGGCTCTCGCTCGCGCGAGCGCCTCAAGGTGAAGCGGCCCAGGCGATGCACCGAGGCGAACGCCGCAAGCAACGCCTGCGCAGCCGATATGCAGATGCTCGCGATGCATTGCCTTCCTTTCTTGCCCATAACTCATGGACCGCATACAATGTGATCTCTTTGGAGGAAAATTAGAGGAGACGAGATAAATTGTATCGTGAAAGTTGTTACTAATAAGGCTATGATAATAGTTCCCGTCTTTCTAGAAAGGACGACATGCAAAAATCAGATGGTGAGTTACCTTTCCCGTATGATTACATGTATCTTATTGGAAAGGAGCAAGGAGCTGGAAACTTCGAAAACTCCAACAACTAAGGCACCATTTAATCCAGCCAAAAGGTCTCTGACTCGGTAAAAAATTCCGGAAGTGTTTTCTCAACGGCTCCGTATGTTTTTGAGGGTGTTTAATTCGAATTTGACGTTTGCCATCTGAAAAAGGTCAGCTTTACAGATAAAATTGTGACAAAAAGAACTTAAAAATTTCGCCGTTTTTAGTATTTTGCTTATATATTCAAAAACATCCGTTTTACCGAAACTATTGTTATTTACAAAATTTAAGTCGCCTAAATTTCTTACAAAATACATATATTGACTTGAATTATTTTTGAAAAACTTTACGCGCTACAGCAGAAACTATTACTTTTTGGGCCTCTGACCAAGGCGGGAGAAGAGCTCTTTCCAGCCATCCTATCTCGCGGTGGCGCACTAGTTTCACTTTATCATACTTGGAAACAATTGTAAACAAATAATGTGTATTGTTAAATTATTAACACTCCGATACTCTTAATCAGTAGGGACGTACTTGCGCGAAGTATTTGTAAATCCTTGAAACATACAATATACTGTACACACCCATTTTTGAATGTGGAAGAAAATCACCTTCAATCACTTTCATCAATTCTTTAATGGTAAACTGGCATTCATCGTCACTGTTGCCAAGAAAACTGAAAATACTTTGAGGTCGTATCACTATTTCTACATCATCTCTGCAGGGCCTCTCTATGATTTATGTTCCTGTCGTCTTTTGGGGACTGATGCCGTGCTTTCATGCACATCAAAATAAGCATGTGCTTCAGCAGCTAGCATGTCATTTACTGCCTCTATACATAATATTCTCCCAATATACTATAGGCCTTCAAGAATCATCGTTACTATTTCTCGCGAGTCATAAAACAGTTTCTCTAGCAGCTAATTTCCTCACAGGGTATACTAAGATTTCTTTCAGATTTACTTTTTCATTTGTTTCTTTGCGAAATGTCGTGGTTATTTCCATCAACAAATAAAACAATGAGTTTAGAAGACAAAGTTATATGTGAACGTGGTTGAGGTGATTAAAACAATCTCCTGAAGGATTTTTCCTATTCACAAGTATTCTGTTGGTGAAAAGTTATTTAAAAGCTCTATAAATTCGAGTGAAAATGACTTTTGGGAGAAGTAATTACATTTGAATACAAGCACACAACGAATCTCACATATATTGTGAAACCACTGATTTCTAAATTTTCAAAATAGGAGAAGGCTAAATGCCAAACTACACGAATTTTAAATATGTAATAAGGTGTTAGAACTTTGCGGGGCAGTAATCATTTTACATTTTATTATTATCGTTACCCAATAGCTTACCCAAAGGTGAGGGGGGGGGGCATGGAGCTCCACCTCACCCTCAGAAGAAGATGGCACATGCTTACAGGTATAGGTTTTACTCATTTTACGAAAGTCTGTTAGTATATCGATAGAATGTTTTATAAATAAATACAAATCAACAATAAAATATATCTTTAATTTATCATACATGAAAAATTATTTGTAAGAATTCAAGTACACTACATTATACCTATGGTCGTCCCCCACTAATTTTTGTAAGAAATCAAGTATGCTGCACATTACACCAATACCCCTCGCAACTTGTTACACCACTGTCTTAATGCGAAGAACTTTTTCACAAGAAACGCATTTTCAGTATCTAAGAACCCGATATAATACCTTTTTACGGAAATAACCAACACTTATTTTTGTTACTCATTTACGCTATTATCATCCTATAGTAATCTATTTATTTTTTACTTTATTGTTTAAGTCAATGTTGTTCGTGGACTTAATACAATAGTATGCTTTTAGTATTCCAGTAATAATTTAATTTATTTTCTGTCTCGTTGCGGTCAGCAAACGTCCTAGCTACAGCACTATGCAGAGCACAGAGCAAAAATGCAACACACATTTTCAGTGTCATGCAAGTATCTCTTTCAGAGCATTGAGAGAACGGCATCGTGAGTGAAATCTGGGCTGTAGCTTTGAAAACGAGAGAGTTCTCAGCAGTCTTTCACTTGCAGCCGTTCAGATGAATTGCAGAGAAACCTTTCGAGTGCAATGTGCCCCGTCAGTAAATTATATTTCATGCAGATTATAAAAACATATAATATTTTAGGATAACAAACTAATGTGATGGTTAGAATATACTTCTCATTTTACGAATTCTAAGTAGCAACACTAATATTGAATATTACCTGCCTTAAATGACATTGCATTACATGGTTTCTCTTTGAATGGATCCTGAAATCTTTCTACAGTCGATCGCGGACTTATTATTTATTTTTTTCGAAATGTATTTAGAAGATAAAGAAACACAAACTTTCGTGGGTTCGTGAATATCACGCTAGGACAGATTCGCATGATCTAATGTTTATATATTTTCTACTGTTTTCGCAGCATAGCAACGAATTCTAGACTAAGTGATTTTTTCATTAGAAACATAGTTAAATAAATTTACTTACATTTCTATCTTGAGTAAACGCTCACCAATCAATGCTCCATCCAGGAAGAAGAAGGACACGAAAACCTGTAAGTGAACATTATAATTAGTGCGATAGAAAATGGCTCAAACTCGTACAGCGTGTAGGATAAGCTTGTGTGTCGCTAAGAACACTTTTCTGTGGAGTACATTGTTAAATCACTTGTTTGTAGTTTACAATAATTTATCGTAGTGTTCCATAATTAATAGAACTGACTTAAAATACTGGATGTGATACTAACAAAATGTGAAACTCCGAAAAAAAACTTACCAAAAGAAAGAGAATGTCGTCGAGAATACTAAGAAGATTGAGGCAAGAAGACAACTCAGAGAGCAAATCTGCATGCGAACTTTATGATGGGAAAGAAAATTTAGATTCTGGCTGCGGTGGGGCGAGAAGAAAAAATCTTCCCACAAACCCTTTCGATCTCTTGACGAACCAATCCCAGTCAGAATCGGATGAGCAGGAAGATGTAGACGTTACTTATCACTCACATGAAGACGTAAGGGACGAATACAAAAAACGAAAAAAGAAAAAGAAAAGAAAAAGATCAGGTAAAAAGGTTAAAGAAGAATCAAATCTTTCTCAGCCGGAAGAGGAGTTGAACGAATTAGAACTTTTTGCTCTGTTCCTAAAAGAGACTCAAAATCAGCATCAATTACTTCCGACGTCCTTTGAAATCTACCCAAAGACTAAAGAGGTATTTAACATTAAACTTAAAAACCTAAATGCTAACAACGAAATTAAAAGAATTTTCGGTTCCAAAGTCATCGGCAGCGAAAATAGGCGCAGAAATCTTAGTAGAGTGCACATCAAGAGCTCATGGTTGGTAAATCCCAAAGAAAACTGGCCGCCACTCGGAAAGACGGGGCTCTCAATGCGACACGAGAGGACTAATGTGAATTGCTCTTTCGCATTTGTACACAACGCGGATTACCAGAAAATTCAACGCAAATTCCTACAAGCAGTGAACAGTTTTAATCAGGAAAACATAGCAGCTATTGCTTACACATCTCCTTACCATGTAGACGCACTTATTCAACTCTCCGATCTGTACAAGTTGACTGATGACTTACAAACAGCAGCCGACCTAAACGAACGAGCGCTGTACAGCCTCGAATCAGCATTTCACCCGCTTTTCAACATGGCCACTGGCAATTGCGAACTCGATTATCGTCGCCAGGAAAATAGAGCACTGTTTATCTGCTTATTTAAGCATCTCACATTCGTGGGCCAGAGAGCTTGCTACCAAACAGCATTAGAGTTGTGCAAACTACTGCTTTCTTTCGATTTTGAGTTGGACCCTCTTGCTATTATACTGTGTATAGATTTTTATGCTTTGCGGTCCCGCAATTATGAATGGCTTATAGACGTGTCTAAAAAGTGGGAAAAGAAGAAAAATCTATCACAACTCCCAAATTTTGCCTTTTCTACAGCATTAGCGCACTTCTGCCTCGCCGAAGCAAACAATGCTGATGACTTTACTCAGGCTGACAAGTTACTACAAGATGCACTTATATTATTTCCAGGTGTTCTAAACGTGCTTCTCGAAAAGTGTTCCGTTCACCTAGGAGCCAACGTGTCAAGTCATCACTTCTTTGATTCTGACTTGGATTTAACTCAAAGCCGTGCACTTACCCAGCTTATAACTCTGTACGTCCATCGCACATATTGCGAGTGGAAAACACCAAACGTTATTTCATGGCTGGAGAGGAACGTTCACGCCGTTATCCAGAGGGTTGATTCAGGAGAGAAATCTGTGAAAGATTGTTTACTTATTCGATTAAGAAACTATTATTCCGCCCCAAGGAACGTCTTGAGACACATTATTTTATCTGATATCAAAGAAGTCACGGCTACTATTTCTGCAAACATTTCTTCTCCGATACTCAGTTTTGATCCACTGCCTCCTTTGGATTCCATCGACACGTATTCATATGCTGAGTTCTCCAAGTACAACGAGGAAACCCGAACCCTCACTTCGTTATTCTTTGCATCGCTTCTGCCGAATTTTCACGAAAATCGCCGGGGAGAAAACGATTTAGCCGTTGCCAACAACACAGCTGTTGAAGACCTTTTGGATCCAGTGGAGGCTCCAAACGGGGAGAATAGAGACACGGGAAGGGATGGAGTTAGAATGTTATTAGACGCAATAGGAGCCATAGTAGCTGGCATTCCGTTTCGGAACAGGACTGCCAGAAATGGAGACAATGGAGGCAGCAATCAAGAGAATAGGCTACCTCAAAATGAAGATCACAGGGAAGCAAGTGAACAGAATTAAGGGAATCCAACAAGATAAGAATGTGTTTTATTAGGTATAATGAATATTTCTAAACCGATGCTACAATTATATTCAACAATACATGCAAACTTTTACAAATAGAATCACATAATGATATATCATCAAACTGAACTAATGTATCGCTGCTGCTACGCAAGAAATGACGCAAGCGCTTGTGCTGGATGCTTTAATTCATATTTTGCAGTATTGTATTTTGATGCATTAATTCTTATATCTCAATGTATTGAGTTTATTGTATGAAGTGACTTTATTGCGAACAATATACATCATCTGTTTTATTGTGCATATGTTGATAATTTTTAAATAAATTCGATTCACTCAACCTGATAGCAATCACTAAAGTGTATTAATAGAGTCTGGGAACAGTTTCCTTTATGCGGTTAAAAATGTATTTCAAAAAAAATATTAAACAATTCAGAGCAATAATTTATTTTGCTCAGAAGTGATGTCATAAGTATTGTTATCACACAACGGTCTGCTTTCGTTGACATGAAAATTCATATTCACTACAAAAATCATCTTTTTAGTCTGACCACAACTTCGAAATGAACCATAGTAGTACATGACAATATATTATAGGAATAGTAAACTACTATACCAGTTTAGCAATAGTAAACTAGTGGTGCTAGAGAATGTCACATACTTTATCGTACAAATTGTTTTTTTTTTCATTTCTTGTCGGGTCTAGCCTTTTCGGTTTTGCCTGTGCTAACCTCTTCCTAGCTGCCATCTATCGCCGCCCAAACTTCATTTTTTTCACATTAGCTCAATTGTTCGGTCGCCAATTGTTGGACTTGATAGGACTTTAAAAATATTGAAGAACAGTAAAACTTCATGCTGTTTGTAAAGTTGGAGATTTTTGGAGAAGAGGTTGTTTAAACATTTCTATAAATAAAAAATATGAAGCTCCCTTTCCACGAAAACTTTTGAGTTTTCGAACACTTCTCTTGAAATCAAACGAAGTACTACTACTTTCAAATTTACTAATATACACAAATCGCAGATAGTGTAAATATTAACGATGTGAGAGATATTTTAAACAAAACGTTTTTTTAAACAAAAGCATACTTCAAAGTAGCATTTATGTCATGTTTTTCAGTGCATTTAGCACCATCCAGTTAAAAAAAATTAAAGAAAAATTTGGAGTATTTTTCGGAAACCAAGCGTTTGAGCGTTTCTGAAAATACGGAATTTCGAGCTCATTTTCGCAGAAAACGTTTGAGTTTTCGAAAAACTTAATACGACATAATTTAAAGCACATGCACTAACAAATGCGACAATATATACAAAATGCCGGTACTGTAAATATTTAAGATGTGCGAGAAGTCAAAAAAATTGTCAATTTTGTTTTAAAAACGAAAAAATACACCAAGACTTCACAATACAGCTGTTTTACAGAAATTCATTTTGATATTTCTTAATATTGCACACATTTCATTCAATACTGCGCGAACCCCACTAAATTTTTCAAAAAATACGCATGGTATTATTGAAAGAATTGATTGTGAAAAACAAATTTCATTTGAAGAAAAAAATCTTCAATATTTAGTTGTAGGAAGACGCCAAAAAAATTTCAAACATTTACAATCTTCGAAAATTCAATGAAAATCAGACATGTCTTCTTTATAATAGTAATTCACTCAATTCTTTAAAGACATTTAAAGAAACAAATTGGAGCCTTTTTTTGAAGATTTTAAAAATTTTGAAAAAGTCCCAGGAGCTTTATGTGAATTACTCTCAAAATTTAAAAATCGTTTTTCACAATCGCAGAGCTTCACGTGGGAGCAGATTGACCCGGGAGTATTCACTTTGGACATTTGGGAAATCCTTTCACCAATGTAATTACTGTAAAAGTGTTATGACACTGATGTAATCTCTAAAAAATTATAATTGATAATAAATAAATGTAACTGAAATCTAATACATATTATAATATATATATATATATATATATATATATATATATATATATATATGTGTGTGTGTGTGTGTGTGTGCGTGTGTACATGTGTGCGTGCGTGCGCGTACGCGTGCGTGTGTGCGTGTGTGTGCGCGTGTGTGCGCGCGTGCGTGCGTGCGCGTACGCGTGCGTGTGTGCGTGTGTGTGCGCGTGTGTGCGTGCGTGTGTGTGTGTGTGCGCGCACGCGTGCGTGCGTGTGTGCGCGTGCGTGCGTGCGCGCGTATGTGCGCGTGCTTGTGTGCGTGCGTGCGCGCGCGTGCGTGTGTGCGCGTGCGTGCGTGTGTGCGCGCGCGTGCGTGTGTGCGCGTGCGTGCGTGTGTGCGCGCGCGTGCGTGTGTGCGCGCGCGTGTGCGTGTGCGCGCGCGTGTGCGTATGCGCGCGCGTGTGCGTGTGCGCGCGCGTGCGTGTGTGCGTGTGCGCGCGTGTGTGCGCGCGTGCGCGCGTGCGTGTGTGTGTGCGTGCGTGCGTATGTGCGTGCGTGCGTATGTGCGTGTGTGTGTGCGTGTTTCATGTGATTGTACAATTATACACCCTCGCTTCTTGTTAATTGTTTAACTGTACATAACTGATCAGAAAAAAACATGTCCATATAATTTTCACTCTCCGGAATATGTAAAACCACAAAATTTTCTTTATAGAAATCGCTTCTGAAACGTCAAGTGTGAAATCTTTCTTAGCCGACTTAGGAAGAATTTTTATAGGATATTAGAAGTTGTTCTTAGGTTTGTTTTAGTTTTAAGCTTTCATTAATAACAGCAAATGATAAAATTGGACTAAAATGTAAA